GCACACATTCACAGTTCAGAGATGCCCAGTTTGTATTCTCAAAGTTCGAGGCCACCAGAGGCAGAAGACGCCTCGACCTCAGGCGAGGGATCCACCGCAAGTTACACCGCGTGAAAAACGCTCCTGCAGTCACTGGTGTCAAACTGAAGGTGTCTCCAGGCTTCCAGTAACAGGAAAATCACATCTTAAAGTAAAAAACAAAAATAAAAGCCCGAGACGGTAAGCGCTCAGCTATGTATGTACAGGTTAAACGACTGTTGTATAATGGCACGGTTATTGGTTTTCTTTGCCACATCGAACTGCAGTCCACATGTGATCAAATGGTTTTAACAGACATCTCAAACTGCGTGTTAAATGTACTGTACGTGAGAAACATCGCTCTGAACAAGGTAAACTACTCTCACTCCAGTTGAGCCTTTAACCCCCCCCCAAACAAACAAAAAAGCACATAGGAAAAAAACAAAACATTTGTACATTTATTTCTCAGTAGAGGAAATCTTGGAGCTGATGAACATGAACAAGAAACCACAAACATTAATCTGAAGAGAAAAAAACAAAACTGCACAGAGCAGGTCGAATGGTTTTGGGCTCCTTGGATGTCTCGCGCTCACATCGACACCTGGGCAGGAAACTTTTATCTCAAACAGCCGCAATGACGACTCCAAAGAGTCGCCTTGTTTTTAAAAACGAAATGCACAATCCGAGGGCCCGAGACTCGTCGTCACCTGGCGGCAGGCTGCAATAATCCCCCACCTCAAGTGCCGAGTGATCAAGATGTGCTTCGCTGGGAAGCTTCTGATGGGCGTCACACATCACATCGCCTCGACTAAACCAAGAAGTGTCCACCAACAATCCCTCTTTTCAGCAAACCAGCATCCGCCCGATGGTACGTCAAAGTCGGTTTGGCTGCTGATTGGCCAGCTTTGATGGTTCAGGCTTTCTTTTTATTGATTTCTGTCTGAAAAGCTCTGGTTTTCTGTCCAGCATCTGAAAGGCTTACCAAATGAAATCAGACCAAAGGGATTACTGGACCCCGACCCAAACGCACAGAGAAATGGATAAACTGAGAATTCAACATTTGCAGAAGTTGGTCAGATTGGACTTAAACAACTCTTCCCACTCTCTGAACTTCCAGTAAACATTTTCCCTCACCATGTTTCTGACAGAAGTGGTTGAAATGATTAATAAAAGCTAAATTTTTTAGATTTTTACAGGTTTCCGACTGTAGAAAAATGCATTTCTGCCAGAGACATCAGTGGAGCATGAACCACCTCCATGGTATCCTGATGGCATCACCACGACCAGCTGCTTATTATAGGCACACTGACGTTTCCACTGTGGCTCATCTACACTTCTAACATCTCATTATTGTGTGAAAACCAAAACCATAACCATCAAAAGAGCGTTTCCTGTCGTAAATCCAGTCAATCTGAAAGGATTCGAACGCCGGAATTTTATGGGCAAGGTCTAAAAGCCCACCAACTGTTTTATTTCTAATCTGACAATTTACCAATGATTGTGAAAACTACAAAACCTGCTTGATTCACTCTGGTTCACTCAGGGTGCCCCCTGTTGGTCTGCAGCAAAATTTGTTCAGTTTCAGGTGAAGAGGAAGTTGAATAGCTTTTCAAGATCATCTCTGGCTCTAACTGTGCAGGTTGGTACAATCTGAACGCTGCGATTTATCACAGATAAATCCAAAAATCAGTAACAAAGCTCTAAGAAACCCATTAAATAAACAGGTGTATGACAGGGCCGAGCACAAGAACCAGTGAAACAAACTAAATCTGAGAAACGACATCTAGCAAAACTATTCCTGTTTTAAAACTGAAGCTTAGTCCTTTGCAGGAAAGCTTTTAGCTGTTCTATGAATACAAAACTTAATTTTTAAAAAATTGTATTTTGGGTATTTGCCTGTCCTTTATAATAAAGCACGTGGCTCTGTTTGGGAAAAACAAACCAAAAAAATGGCTTATCTAACAAAACACGTAAGAACCAATAATCGGTCTGCCACACAAAAAGATTTGTGAGGTTTAGTTGCCTTTTTTTGTGCTGTTCACTGACTAACAACAGAAATGTGCAATTTATTTGGTTTCTATTTATTTTTCCGCACATTTAAACTGGTGTATGTGCAAAAATCAAATGTGTTGACTAGTGAAATTTAAAACAGATTTAAAACATGACAGAGCCAGGCGTCCAGTGTTTTTCTGCTAACCTAGCTTCATCGCTTCCTGGTCTCAGACTTTTCATTTCCTGAAATCTGATTCCCCCAAAACTGTGATACTCACTCATCCTAAAACATGGACAGAAAGCAGAAAATAGAGTTTGAGCTCATCAGACAAAAACCAATAAGCCCTCAGATGGTCATCGTTAAGCAGAGTTGGTGGATATTTGGAGCCAGAACGAGGATTTCTAATATTCTCAAATAAAAGCTGCAGTCTAGTCATGCTGCCCGACCAATGTGGACACAGTGCAGTTTGATTATAGCCTACTGAGCTGCATATGCATGAACATCTCATCTTAAGTATTAGTGTTACCTAAAGTTTTGCATTAATGCCTTTAGCTGCAGCTTTCATGTCACGTCTCATCTTTTGGCACTGTTAGCAGAGTACTCAACAATGGCAAAAACAGAGTAAATATCCAACATGTAGTGCTTTGTTTTTGTTTTGCTAAAAAGCTTCATTCAGACTGTCCAAAAAGCAAACACACTGTGAGGAAAATTCCCCCAAAATCAACTGTAATCAGTGAAAGAAAAAGAAGCCAGAGCTTCGAAGAGGATGCCGGTGGACACTCGGCTTTGTCGGAACCACAGACTGTGAACGCTGAGGAGAGGGAGGGCGGGGTTACTGTCGCACCTGAGCATCCAGGTGCGACCGAACCCACAGCGAAAGTTTAAAAAGGAATGAAAGAACGAAAACAAAAAAAATACAATAAATGATCTGCTCACACTGCAGAGCGGAGCAGGAATCAAACTCAGCACACCCAAACTGAAAAACAATAGTAGTTAAAGAAAAAATATCTCCGAACGCACGACATCACGTCTTTTTTTTTTCTTTTATATTCTACATCCAGCTCGATAGCGACATTATAGTTAACAAGGATCAATATATTTTTATAATCATTTTAAGGTACCTCTTATATTTTTCTGAGTATTTACATCTGTACAAGCAAAGCACACACTTCAAAGTGCACATATTTAATACAGTATTGACTAGATTTGCAATTACAAGGTTTTTATCCCCCCCCCACCCCCACCCCCCTGCACAAAAAAACCAAAAAACCTGAAACTATTGAACAAGAAACCAAAAGAACGACCCAAGATTTTTCGTACATTTTACACAAAACAAAAAACAAAAAGTAGGAAAAGAAAGGAAATGCTGCTAGATTTGTACTCTCTCTCTCTCGCAGTAAGACTTGTGACGTCTGGTGTGACTAAATATTTCCACATCTCACGCTTCGTTAACATTTTGGGGATCTTTTCTGAAAAGAAATAAAACTCTATGCTTGTCTTGTAGAAAAGTTAAGGCAAAGTCATTTTTCAAGTTTAAATAAAATTCAAGTTTCTCAAACACTGGATGGATTTTTTTTAACACACACACACACACACATTTATATATATGTGTGTGTGTGTGTATATATCTATATATTGAGAGCTCAATACATCATTTTTTCCTTCTCCCAAAAAGAAAACTTAATGATATTTCTTGTGGAATAAACAGCACTGCTTTATAAATAAGTGGATATGGTGCATTTACATCTGTTTTACCATTTCCACCAATGAGGAAAACAAAAAAGAGAAAATAATAGACCCATCCAAGTGCATCTCAGTCCTTCAAAATAATAAAAAAATATTTTCTTTTTTCACTAAACTCAAGCTGTAGCATCCAAATCAAAAGCAGCTCTGACCAGGAGTACAGGCTCTTTAAATGAAGCTTTCCCTTCTCCAGGCTCCTGTTTTCTCTTAGTGGGATTACCCAGAATGCTTTTTGTTGCAGGAAGACTTCAGCGAGACATGCGAGGTCCCACCTAAACAGATATTGTGTATAGTACAGTGGTTTTTATTTATTTTTTTCAGGGTGTTTTTGCATCTTAGGTGACGACTTCAAAAGATGAACCCGAGCACATGACCGAGGAGCAGGGAGGGAAGTCTTTTAAGTCATTTTTCAGACAGTTACATTCAAATTAAAAAACACACTCGGTTGGTTATCTGCCAAAGTGGTTGCTACAGTAGGCAGACCTTCCAACCAAAGCTGGAGCTGCCCTCCCTGAACGTGCGAGCTTGCTACTTCACTCTGGTGCAGGATGCAAAATTTTCCACCAGCTCTGGTATAAAAATCGCTGCTTCGATTATGTCCCATGAAAGCTCTGACCAACTGGGTGCCGGCGCTTCAAACGAGCCAGGCTCGAGGTGAGTAAAGGATGTTTCCTCTTACTCTGTGCTTTAAATCGTCCTCCTGTCTGCTGCCATTTATCAAAGGTAACCAGAGTGAAGCGGCAACAGAGGAAGTCCTGTGTGCTCCGGTTGATCTTTTCCAATTTTTTCAGAGAAATCAAAGAGTGCAAACAAACTAGAAGAAAACAACAAAGCACGCCGACAGAGAGGAGGAAAAAAAAAAAAAACACCCCCAAACAACAATAATAAACAATCCTAGTGGTATAGACTTGAGGAAAACAGCGGAACATTTTCACCCCAAGGATGGATTTTACACACCTTCCTGCTCCAAACCTTCCAGCACTTAAATGTTTGGTTTAAAGCCAAATTATCGCTCTCTCACTTCAACATTGCAAACCACTTTCCAGGAAAAAAAAAAAAAAAATCCACTCGTTATTTACCTTCATAAAAATATACTCGTCTATTCAACCATCCCACTTCCCCATTTTCACCACTTTCCAACAAAATCCTCACTGACCCAAAACCCGAAGTTAAAAATCCAAACCACTGCATGTCTATTCAAGCAGCACCGAACAAAAACAAACAAACGAACAAAAAACGTTAAGCATCAGTCTTCAAAAATTTAATGCTGCACAGATGCTTCAACATGACCGACAAGACAAAAAAGCTTCAGTGATTGTGTCAATGGAGATGATGCAGCAGGGTGTTCGTCAACTTCCCTCCTGGAAAACTGAACTGTGTGTGTTATTCCCCAACTTCCTCCCCAAAAAACAAAACAAAGTTAGTCCCTTTTTTCACTTTAGGTAGGATTAATCACATGAATTTGCTTGCGAGAGTCTGAGAAAACAACAACAGTGCAATTAAACGTCTGCAGATGTAAATCAAGTATTTCTACTTACAGTATCAGAGGAGTTGTAGTAACAGATTCCAGGTTTTGATATCTAGCACCATAAGTAGGAGAAAGAACTACAAACATGCCACCGTTTGAAAGGAGGTTTGAACAGTTTGAACAGGAAACTTCCCACTGGATCAAATCGCCACACTGAACTCTGGACTTGTCCCATTTTATGGCAGGAAACTCACACACATCTCAGCCTCCTGATGAGTCACTCTGTCTCAGCAGATTTCCAGAAAATTAAACAAAAACCAAAAAACCCTCCGTTCGGCGCCTGTAAACAGACGTGTTTACTGAGCTGATAGCTGGCAGCTAGTGTTAATTTCCTCCTTCCTGCTTGCCAGCGTTCCCTCGCCTCCAGAATAAACAAAACCCTTTCAGATGGGAAGAAGCGGCTTCCTCGTCACCGCTCGATTTTTAAGTTTGTCAGCCTAAAACCTGCCCTGCATCTTCCTTCCTTCCACAATAATGATCAACAGTTTGACAGGAAATGAAAAGCGGGGAGAGAATTTAGCTTCCTGACTAGTTAAATGTCTGCTGACTCATATGCAGTGTGAGCAACACCTCACCTACTTTCACTGTTACAACAAGATGCCTCATTTTAGAGAAAGTCATGTGCCCTTCCTGTGTGATACTAAAAAAAACAAAACAGCGCTGACCCCACGTTAAGCCACAGACGCACACTATGGCGAGTTAGCATGTTAGCAAAACAGAGAGGGAATAACAGCAGGAGGGGTGATCCTTTAAGAACAGGATCAGAGGAAGAAGACGCCGAGGGGAGGATGACCAATTACTGTACCAACAGCCAACTACGGTTTGCAAAAAACCCCAAAAAGACATAAAAGCCACCTAGTGTAAACAAACCTGCAAAAAATTCTATGTAAACCAAAGGATCCAAGTCTTCTTGTGATGTTGAGTTGCATATGGATGTGAATATGTATTTAAAAACAAAAGGACTAATAATGACCCATAATTAAGCCACTTAAAGTTGCACAATGCTGCCACTCAACATGCAAACAAACCCCTCATTATGACAGCCAAACAAGTCTGTTTTATGCACCCTTTCCCATCATCCTTTGGGGTGGCTTCCAACAATGCCCTGCTGCTTCCCACACACACACACACACACACACACACACACACACACGCACACACACACGCGGCTAATTTAATCCCACAAGGCCGTTTGGACAGAATGAACAAATTTCAGTGTTGTCTGTGCCACCTGACAGGCTGACACCACTACGTAATGCAAAAAGAGAAAAGGAGAAATAAAAGTGAAAAACCAAAAACAATAAATAGAATATAAAGAAAAAGAAACGGTGCTCTACATGCACAGTAAAGTGCTTTTTGTCTGCAAGCCCTGATCCAGAAAAGAAGGCGTCCTCTATGCTTGTTTGTGACGGGTGATTCTGGGATATAAGTATCGAGTAGCCCTGACTTGTATTTCCTTTATTTTTTTTAAACGCATCTGTGGAGCATAGTAGTGGGGTTGGAGGACTTGGGGAGGGAAAGGAGGTCACCCTACTGCGGGGATTTGGGTGGGGTGTGGTGGGAATCTTTGTTGGGGGTTTTCCCTGGGTGTGGGGGCGGAGAGGCCCACCGCCCACCCGGCCTTCGGACCTCCTTCGGGGGTCTGCCTGTGGTGGCACCCGTTGAACTGGGTTTGGACGAGGAGTGGTAAGTCTCTCTGGCCTTGGCCTCCCCTGAAGGCGTGGAGGCGTCGGGGCACTTCCTCTCCTCGCCTGCTGTGGCGGCGCAGGCTGGCTTAGCTTCCTTAGGGGTGGTTGGTTGCTGTAACGTCGGGGTATCCTTCACCCGCTGGCAGATCTCGGCGTAGGAGGGCTTCCTCTGCTCCTAGCAGGAAAACACAAGACAGCTGTAAAACATTCTGCACACATCCTTACAAAGCTCGTCTGCGGGCAGTTTGTGAACGAGTAGTTTTCATTTCCACCTTGAACAGGACAGAATCAGAGTTAGATCCCCGTACGGGTCCGTTAGCGTCAGTAACGAACTTCCTCACATGCATCTCACATACAATGCCTGGAAAGGTTCAGGCCTGTAGCACACGCGTCTCCAGAAGGAGAGCCCCAACAACAAGTTGGTCCAAGCATCACACAAATAGAGAGGTAAGCTGAATAAAGTGACAGAATCTTCAGGTCTTTGCTTATATTTGTGCCATTTAGTCCAATGTTGTTGAAAAGGATGACCTTTAAGTCATAGAAAGAAAGTCAGCCTGTCCATCAGATGTATTTCCTCTATAATCTCTAGCACTTGCTCTACTTGGAGAGGATCCTTCTTAAGCCAATTCCTTGTTATGGCCTTTTTAGATGCGATCAACAGGATTTTAAAAATATATCTGTTCCTTTTTAGAATCAAATCTCTGGGTAGAAAATCCAGTAAGAAGATCCTGGGGTCCTTAGGGATGGCATAGGACATGATGTCATCTGTTAACTAGAATATACTGTCCCAAAATGAAGTCGATTGTGTACACGTCCAAAAGATATGAGAGTGATTGGCGTTCGGGTGACCACACTGTCTCCAACATTTTTGCTGGTGTGCATGAAATTTGTTAGTAATATGTGGAGTAATGAAGAATTTTCCGCACAAATTCCCTCCACCTTTTGGAACAAGTCGATGTTTGTTGTGTGGTGCACATATAGTGTGTTGTTACCATTTTGTTTTTCTAGCCCTTTTGTAGAGTTTAGACACAGTTTTGGTGGGCAGACATTTGTAAAGAGGAAGAACTCCCTTTTAACAGGAAGGCATCTCCAGGGACAGGCTCAGAGAGAGAGCCATTAGCCACAAAGTGACAGAGAGAGCCGAAAGAGAGGACCCCAAACAGAAGGACAGACTGAAGTGAAGCATCAGGGATAGACTTTGTTCCCAATAACAGTTACAATTTGCCCACATTACAACAGCTCGAAGTCAGTAAACCTGTAAAGAAGCTTCTAAAAATACAACAGAACCAGGCAAACTGTGGGATTTAAGTTTCTGTACCTGCTCAGCTGATCTCTGTTTACTTACATTCATCAGCTATGTTGGGCTGAAATCATTTACCGCTACATGAGAAGGTTAACTACAATTTTATTTTTTTGCACAGTATCTGCCTCACTCTGCTCACAGCAGCTCACTGTTTGGTTTACACCAGCGGTCCCCAACCCCCGGGGCCATGGACCAGTCCGTGAGTCCTTTGGTAGCGGGCAGCGAGAGTTGAAGCTCGGGTGTGAAATTCACGGTTTTCAGGGTTTTTAGCGTTATTTTTTAAATCTTTTTTATCGTTAACTCTGTTTGCCTGGGTCTTTTCCTGTATGTTATGAATAAATCTTGTTTTTTTTGGTACCGGTACTGGTTTGATCTTGTTGTATTTATCCACGACACGGCCGGTCCGTGAAAAATATTGTCGGACATTAAACCGGTCCGTGGCGCAAAAAAAGGCTGGGGACTACACAGCAGTCTCCTAAACGTGTGCAGAAACTTTAATGTCAGGACTGAAAAATTTAAATTGAAAATATTGAAAATCAAAGAATTTGGCTGATAATTCAACCCAAAGGCTAATTTTCATTAAGTGTATTTAATTTATTAATAAACAACAAACATGAAAACAAGGAGACGAGAAAAAATGTATTTTACGCCGATGCAGGCACATGTCAATCAAACTTTTTCATGTATGAATATAACGCTGGGGACAGCCTGTAACTACAAACGTTCCCTTTTATACAGTTTGGGGAAACGCTGTAATAAACACGGCAACTGAGCTAAAAACATTCAGAATTTTGGCTCCTGAACATTTCAGAGATTAAGAGGTTCAACATGACAGCAGTGATATGATTGTTGAACCCACATTTGGCATGTTGATTGTATTTAATTTGCTAGATCCGTTTCTGTTCACTCCTACGTGTGTGTGTGTGTGTGTGTGTGTGTGGTCGCTGTTTTAGCAGCAGTACGTTTCAGACCTTGGCTCGTGTTTTATTGCTATTAAAAAAAGACCAAAGCTGAGAGGAAAGCAGGGGTTGTTTTTTTCGCCCCTCCATCAAAACAGATTTTCTTCTTTAAAATGCACCGTTTCCTTCTGACACCTCACACAGACCTAAATTAAAGCTGTAAGAGGAAATTTGCCTTTGGCTTGTTACAAGTAAAGCTTTTTTGGCTGCTACATGTGTCCATTTTAAAAATGCACAGCTTTTTCCTCTAAAAATCGAGTTGTCTGCAATCAAAATCAATACGAGACTGCGCAGAATTAAGGTGTAATTAATTTGCCTTCTTTTCTTCAGGATGAGATTGATTTAATGGTGACTGAGGTGTCTGAGAGGCAGCAAATATTAAAAAGCGCCGGTGAGCAGAAAAAACAAAACAAAAAGGAGGAATCAATACTGACTGTGGCAGCACCGTTGACTTGCACCGATTTGCTTGCAGTGGACAGAGTCCCAGGAACTCGCTCCACAGACAGCTGCACCTCCTTCGGCTTCACCTCTGTCACCTTCACCTCCCTGGAATAAAGAAACATGAGCCAACAGCATTAGGGTGGAATAATGAATTTAACATCATTTAGGAGGTCTGCAGTCCTCGAAACGCACATAATGGCTAAAGAAGTGATCAGTGCAACACGAAGAGGCAAACTGATGACTGTAATAAGACGAGATCTAATCAGAAAGCTCCTCCTAACCTTAATGTGGCCAACCTAATATTCAACATTATCTTCTTGTGCAGCTCAGGACTTTGTTTTCTCGCAGACCTAAGTTTAAAGAAACAAAGCCTCGGTAATATCTTAGGAGGACTCATTTTAAACCACTAGGAGTTCGGAAGATGTCCGTGTGTTGTGGTTTACACGTTTGCTTAAGAAGCAAGCGAAAGGTCCCCGGTTTGCTCCCAGGAGCAGACACGAATCCCTTTGGGGAAAAATATTCACTATAAAAATTCTGCCTTATAAAACATCCGGAGCTTCCCGCTGTGGCAACCCTCGTGAATAAGGGAGCGGCTGAAAGTCGCCTACCCATTTCAGGGTGAGAGAATGAAGCCTAATGGTGCCACATGACTAAAATGTCCAAAATGACACATTTCATAGCTGTGAGAAACTGTCACAGTGCCATTGCAGGTATGGTGTGTGGCTGCCTTTCCAGTTCTGTAGTTAATACCCCTAATTTCCATTTTCTGTCACGTTTACTTCCTATAATGATCTGAAATAGGCTCACAAGCTTCCTGGAAAACGCTGCGTCTTTACCTGCAATGTCAGGCTGTTCTCGTGGGTGGATGGCACCTTTCCTGTCACATCCTCTCTCTCTAAATCGTAGGCTATTATGTTACACGCTTTTCTTAACAGATACTAGAACCATTATGATAATTAATGACAGCATTTCAGTGAATGCTGTGTATGTTCGCAGCCTTATCTTCTACCCTACGGCTGTCAGTAAATGGCTTTTTACAGACTCTGCTCTACGTGCTGCAGTCAACAACATCTGAGTGCTTCTTACGTTACTGGGAGGGAGGGAGCGGGACTGTGCGGCGTGCCAGGGGAAGGGGTCAGCGTCGAGGCGGGGGTCGTGGTCGGGGTGGTCGGCGAGGGCTGGAAGGTTGTGGCCATCGGGGACGTTGAGGACCGGAGAGGCTCTTTGGGACCCGCTGGGGAGAGAGTGCCTCCACTACTGGATTCAGCACTTACATTCTGCAGCGACATCAAACAAACAGCAAGCAGCAGAAATGACGTATTACAGCAAGTTCTTTTTATTAGCAGAAGGAGAAGTTCTTTACAGGTGAGCGTATATCAGTGTACAATGAAAAAGCAGGACCAGTAGCTAAAGTTGCAGTGTTGGTGGTGCCTTCCTAAAGCCTTCTTTATACTTGTGCTGTTTTTCCATATCATAAAGAAATGCTAGATTAATGCTCCATATCGTGAGCCAACACACTCGAGAATCAGATTATTACTCTCAAGAGTCTCACCTTTATTTTGAGGAAGATTAAAAAAATAATAAAGAGTTTTCCAACATATTTCAAGGTACGTCTGTGAAGGTTCTCAGTCATCCAGGTCATCGTAGTCTAAGGAGCTTGGAAAGAAAAGCGTCTGGACTTCTTTAAGTTGTTTGAAGGCATTTCACCTCTCATCTGAGAGGCTTCTTTAGTTCTAGAGTCAAAGAGGCGGTGGTTTACGACAACCGTCTGCCATCTATAATCCAGTTTTGAGATCCCTTCCCAGAAGCCTTAACGCCCACTCACATCCTGGGCCTTCTGACCTCAGGAAATCACAAGATGGGGTGGGGCTAGGTTTCACAATGAGCTCACCCGAAACCCTGGCTGATTGTGACCCACACCTGTTTTCACACCTTGGCTCATGTGATTAGGTAGAGGGAGACCACCACAGGGATTAAATCTGAGAATCTCCACCATTTGACCCTAGAACTGAAGAAGCTTCTCGGATGAGAGATGGAACGTCTTCAAGCAACTTAGAAGTCCAGACGCTTTTCTTTCCAAGCTCCTTAGACTATTTAAAGGTATCGTTGCAGTTTGAACAGCCTGTTTTGTTTTTAGGAAGTGCCTGAGTCGAGTCACCATGAAATATCTGCGTGGCAGCCACAATAAGAGCTGGATGAATTCTCTATTCTTTCTAACACTGGGGCACCTTTTATGAAACAATTCAAAATCATGCATCAAAACCATGCTGACCCTTCACAAAAACAAATCACCAACATGGCTGATGTGTGTTGTGTGTGGATTATTGTCATACTTTCATGCTGCGTGCTGAGTGGCAGCTTGTCATGGTCACTCCCGATTGTTTTTTCTTTAAGAAAATCGTATTTTTCTTTTGCACGCTCACTGCTCTCCTCACGAAAGTAAAACCGGCAAAATGGCGCTTCCTGGAGCAGGCGCTGTGATTGTACCCATCTTTACCACAAAACCTGCGTCTATTATCATCTTTGCTAACCAAGCACTTTACTGTATTATATTTTGTTTATACTAGAAGATTTAATTTAATATAACAATAAACCTCCAGGGCTTATTGGAGTTTACATTGATTCATACATAATTTAACACACCACTGACAAACCTATAGCTCAGTTTGAGTTTAGCATCAGTTCCTACCCGTTCCTTGGAGTTTCCGACGACTACGCTGCTGGCCAGTCGGTTGTCAAAGACGTCGTCAGTTTTGAGCTGGCCGGCTGCTCCGGGCAGAGGAGGGAAGCTGGAGAGACCGAGCTCGAAGCTTGGAGATGGAGGTTTTGGGGGCGGAGGCGGCGACTGAGGCGTCACTCTCTACACAGAGGCAACAAAGAGTCAGGAAACAAAACAGTCTTCGATTCACTTTCAAGATGTAAGGAATACATAAGTACTAATCTTGGTTTGCTTCCTTTAAACTGAGCATAAACTCACAGAAAAACTGTGGAATTTAAAGTTTGAAAAGAATCAGAATGACGAGGATAAAAATCAGTACTTACTGTAAACTTTTCGTCCCTCTTTTTCCTAGAAGCAGAAACATTTTTCCTTTAAGAAAAAGAACATCTCAATTTACAAACATCCGTTCTATCTAAAAACACCGACTTCACCTTACACAACGTCACCTAGAAGTAATTAGTTGAGACTGAAAGATTTTAATAGGTTGGAACCAAAGACTAGTTTCAGTAATTATGCATCTGACAGAACGTGAAACATGGCCACAATCTTCCCTTCTGTTCCTCAGTTGGTGCACAGAATCGTGATGGCACAAGGAGGTTGGCCTCCTGGATATGAAATGTCACCACTTCATCATTTTATCCAGATACATGCAAAACTTTTAGTAGCTGATTAATTTTTGAGAATCAGCCAAAACAGGGCAAAAAAGATATAATTCCAGATCCCATTAAACACAGAGACAAGTAAACGTAAAGCTTAAGATGTTGGGCCACCAGATCAGCTTCAAGTCCTCTAAAAGAAACTCGCTCATCTGCTGTTTTAATGGTGAGTCATTCTGGAAGCGATCGCTGGCAGCACGACATAAATGTTTCATCAGAGGATAAAGGTGATCACTCAGAACAGCTTTGGATAAGGTGTGGCCAAAAAGCTCCAAAACATTACCTCACTCAAATTTGGCTGATGCCCTGTTCAGTGTCATCATCTCTTAGTTTGTCCAGACAGCTTCCAATGCGGCTGCTATTCTTAGAAGTCCTGTTGTGCCCACTTACACTCTTTGCTCTGCAATTTAGCCAGACGGCAAATCTTGTCTTTCGTTTTAAAGTGACGCAAAATCTGGATGGAGGTCGATCACTGGTGATGGGAGCTGGGTCTCAGTTTAAAGTTAGTTTGTAAGACTGAACAGAGTGAGTCATGCGAGGAGTGACAGCAGGAGCACGATTCGCCTCGCTTTTAGTTTTTCCACTTTCACAAAAATTGAATCCAGTTGAAGAATCGAGGCTGGCGATTGGTCCGACAGGGCCTCCGCCTGGGCTGCTGCCCAACACAAAGTGCTGCGGACGCTGTACCACAACGAGCCGGTTGAGGTGTATGCGAAGATGATTCTGAATGGGAGGTTGGCCAAATTTAAATCAGGTAAGGTTTTTCATTTTTAGAGCTCAATTTCCAAACATTTTGACCACACTTTGTACTGACTGTTTCCCCTAAGACGACCAAAACTTCAGGAAATGTGTGGCATCCCCATTTCCAAAGACATTGTGTCCAAGAACAAAAGAGAATCACCTGAGCCTGTTTAGTTTACTCATGTTTTCACTTTAGGACAACCACATTCAAAGTGTCAGCGTGAACTGTTGAATTCCTCTCATAACACTTTGGAAACCTGCACTATCAGAGGGGAGTGGCAGAGTTATTGCTCTACACAAGTAAATGATCAGTGCCTGACCTTCCTCGGCCGATCCCCAGCGAGTAGTCTGTGGTTGCGGGCTCCGTTACTCGCCCCGTGCCCACAGTGTCCCTACGAGGGAAGGCTGCAGTGGAGGGTAACCTGGTTCTGGGTTGGCTGGTGGGGAGTCGCGTTGGCGGGCTGCTGCGAGCCCCATTGAGCCTCTCGCTGGGAAAGCTAGCAAAGAGGCTCGGGCTGTCCAGTAGCCCAGTGCTGCGATCTGCTGTGGGGATGGTTGGCCTCAGGTGAGGTTTGCTGTGATTCCTGCAGAAAAGGAAAACCTTGTGAGCCCATGTGAGCATTAAAACTTGGGTTTAAAGTGAATAATCGAACCCTGGGCCTACAATAAACTCATTCTGTGAAGGACCCCGCAAGTGACAGGTAAAACCAGACGGTGAGATTTCATTTTTGTGTTGCGTCTTCAGCCTTTGGAGGAGTAAAAATCTACAAACTCAGTGAAACTGGAAGTGGATAAATTATTTAGATACAATCAATTCCCATATGCTGATGGTTTATTTACGAAATACAAAAGGAACTGATTTTCTGAGATTTTAGCCGCACAACCATCTCTGGGGTTTACAGAGAATGAAAAACAGCACACATCCAGTGAGCAGCAGCTCTATGATCGAAAATGCCTCGTTGATGTCAGAGCAGAGTGGCCAGACTGCTTCAAGCTAACAGGAAGACGACCTGAACTGAAAAAGCCACTCATTACAGCTAAAGTACGCAGAAGAGCATCTCTGATCTCCTCAAGCCTCGAAACAGAAGAGCTAAAGCAGCAGAAGACGACACCTGGTGCCACTCCTGTCAGCTAAAAACAGAAAACTCACGTGGGCTCACCAAAACTGGACAACAGAAAACAACTTCACAGACTTCTACCCCATTAAATTCATATTGTAACAAATCCTTAATTAAAAAAAAACAAAACAACAAAAACAACCTCAAAACTTTGATAAGCAGGTAAATAATAATCATATGGTTAATCTGTCAATCACCCCTGGGATTACAAATAAGTAAAAACAAATGTTTTATGTTCTATGTTCGGTTTGTTTAAACACACATGGCCACACAGCTGTGTGTCATACACACAACATTAGTGGGTGAACAGCTGATCACACCCTGTGTGAGGGTGATGGAGATGTGCTGGGACGACTGAGGAACTTCCAGTGTGTTTACAAGTGGAGAAAGGTGAGATGCTGCCAGTTTACCTGGATTTATTATTCCAACAGCACGTACATTAACTACATTGTTCCACTGAACTATAACAAACCTGTTCCTGGGCGAGTAGTGTCTGACAGTGAGGGGCGACGTCGCTGGTTTGAAACTGTGAGATGTAAATCCGTTGATGAACTGGTTGTTGTGAAATGGAGTAACCTGGAGACAGAAAAACAGTTAAATAAGATGCATTTAAGTAACAAATTATTAAGCTAGTTGTGTGACTTTTGAACTGAATGTTTTCTAATGTAGTTGTTGATATTGTATGTTTATAAAAAGTGCTTTAAAAATGTGAAAGTGGCTCTAAACCAATTAATGCTTCATAGCACCAATTTAAACAGTTTATATTTAATAAAGCAGCCACTACAGAAAGCACAGTGTATTATTCAGACCAAAGTTAACACAAGTAACTAAATTTAATCCTGGTGCTGATCTGCTGGTCCTGATTTAATCTTAAATCCAAAAACAATTGTGAATTTACCGTTTTTGATACACAACCGAGCACCTGTTTGACTTCTTCTTTCCCAAATCCAATAAACACACAGTAACTCATTCTTACCAGCGTGGGGTCGATGAAGCTGTGTGTGGCCGACCAGGCCTGCGGCGTGATGAGGCTGTATAACGGGAATTGCTGCTGGGGGCTGTAAACCGGTGGGATGTAGTAGGATGTGTAGCGCTGCTGAGCGTACGGGTTCACCTCCACCGGCCGGTAACCGTTCTTTGGTATGAAAGTGTTGATAGCGATTGCCTTCGCCTTTATCCTCGCCTGGTAGAAAGAGCCCGAACAGAGAGAGAAATTAGCACCAGCGCCCAAAAGAGAGATCGATATTATAACTAACTGCTGATACAGTTGAGGAAAAAATACAAATAAAAAAAAATACATTTCTCAACCGTCTTCACAAAATTTGTTTGTTTCATCGGTTGTTAATAAATATTCATGTGTACCATGGGCTTAGAGGCAATGATCAACGTTTTTCAGCCAAATCTAAAAAAGTGTTTTAGTACAGAGGAATGCAATTTACATTTACACGCTTCATGTGGTCCTTAAATAACAAGCAGACCTCTGAATGAACCCCTTAAGCAAAAACCTGTGATTTGTGAGCTGTCTACAAAAAAGTTGGATGTGTGCTTCTCTGCTGATTCATTTTGCATGACAGGGGATAATATTTGACTTTTGAGACCACATTCATGAACAGAAGTGGTTTGAATATAGCTCAAAATGCATAAACTGACAGTGACGAGAGCCTGAAATCACCACCAGCAGGGTGCATCTGGTTCTCGAGCATCTTTTGATTTGCAAATTGTTTTCTTTCCAGCTCAGCCTCAAACCAATAAAATGTGAGCCTACCTTTATTGGCTTCCCTTGGAAGGTCTTCACTTCCTCACGGAGATATTGATATGCCTTTAAAACAAAGGAAACAGGACAGCATTAGTGACTTAAAACACACAAAGTTCACTGATAACTTTGATGCTTAAACTCAGATTTAAATACTAGTATAAATTACTAATGAAATCAAAACTGAATGAATGCATGAAATTAACTGTCCACATGTACGGATACCTGCTGTGCATCTGCTTCTGATTCAAAAGTGATGAACCAGTTGTCATTGTAGGCAAATTCACAGTTGATAAACTTGGGTAAGTTGTCCCCCTTAAAAAGAGCCTCGACCTCCTGCAAAACAAGAGAAACTCATTTCATTCCACTGTTTCACTACAGATCTGCTACAACCCCGGTGGCCCAGGCTGGGCAGCAAGACTATGAAAAAATAATAATGAAGATCTATTCAGTTATGTTTCCCAATTACAGATTTAAAAGTGGACATAGCCACCATGTTGCCTTACATGTTTATTTTCAATAGAATCTGCAATCAGAACAGCTGCCCCCTGCTGGTCATAAGCCGGCACTTTGTATTGACGTCACGCTTCAGACCTGGAAGCTTCCTCCATCTGTCATTATTGTCTAATGGCAGATTAGATCAGTCTTTGCTATATGTGAATGATTTCATAGGTGGCCTCTTGTTGGCACAGCTTGCACCGTGGGAAATAAACTACACAAGTGCTGTATTAGTTTAACCTGAAGCAGCTTCATTCAAAATTACACCTTGAAGCAGAGAATGTGTCCAATATTAAGGCTATTTTCCATTTTCCAACTGGTTCTTCAAGCAGCCAGATTCACCTTCTGGTTTTGTTTTGTCATTATTATTATTATTGAACTCCACAGAGTACTAGTTTACACATTCTCTTAACAAGCAAAACAAAACCCCCCTTTTTTTTTTTAGCTGCGTCATGAAGTGCATCACAGAGAGCTGCACTACTGGGCGACCCCTTGTTGCTTCTAGAGATGCTTATAATTTTTGGCTGTTTGATGAATTTACTTCATATCTGCCATAAAGACATCAGGAGACACTACAAGCATGTTTTCCAATTTCTTCTCTCTGTGGGTGCAAAAAGCTTTAAAGAAGCCTTCACAAATTCCCGCAGGTTAAACTGGACCAAAGGTACATTATTACATTTAATACTCGTAAGATTTAGACTACAAACAACCCATAATTGAATAAGCTGCAGAAAACCACGTTTCGCTGCTCCTCTCTCTATATTTCACAACTAAATATGATGCTCTGAGCAAAATAACTAGTGTACTTTCCAGTATTAAGGAAATATGGGGAATGATGTGATAGAAAAATATTGTTTATATGAGCAGATCTGTTTGACGTGGACTTTCTGCGGAGCTGAAAATGCACCGCTGTGATAACAGTCATTAGCTCCGAGTCAGCTGAACTGAAAATGTTCTGTCAGGCTGGGGCAGATAAGAGAGTTACTGATATCACACAAGACCTCTGCAAATGTTTTACCGTCACTGCTCGACAGGAAAATGCTTCTCAATAACCTCAAAATGTATGGTTTGTGGTGTTTGCTGGGAAAGGACGGATCATGACTGGATAAAATCCCGACTTTGCATTTTGGAAAGGTGAGGTGTCTACCTTAAATGTCTACTCTCTGGTCTCCTTTGGAGTCATGGCACCTCGTTATCATGGTTTAATTAGCTTAATGTGTAACAGTGACAGCATTCTGCAGACTCCGCTTTAAGCATAACAAAGATTGATTTAAAAAATATCCAAGAACACGACATAAAACACACCAAATCCTAAATAAATCAAGGATACATGTAGAGTTACCTGTTCAGGCACATATGATAACTAAAAAACTAATAATTATGGTGACTGAGGCATAAGAATTCACTATATTAAGTTATGCATCCTAACAGAAACATTAAATAATTCAGAGTCTGTCGACTTCATCCATGTTTGAACTTCATTAGCAGAATATTTCCCCTGAATTCAGAAATGAGTAAAATATTAAAGAAGAACTAAATTTAATTAACTAAAAGCAAACATTTATCTACTTGCATTTCTATTTACAATCCCAGTTTAACTACTGGGACTGTAAATAGAAGACCTTCTAAACAAATGTGAACAGACCATAAAGGCAAACTATCAATCAGACACCCAGACCAGACTGGCGTCTACAGTGTACATAAGCTATGCTTGTGTTCTAGGCGTGAGGCATTTCCATGGAATAATAATGCTTCTAGTGTTTGTTGATTCATGACAGTAGCATCAAATGACAGACGTGTAATTGGACATCCTGTTTCGGCACTGACCTCTATGGGCGTGCTCTCTGGAACCTCTCTGAGGATCACGATGCAGCGGTTCTGATTGGGTCGCACCTTTTCCCCCTTCTCATCCACCTGGACCAATGGCAAAGCTGCAGGAAGCCATAAAGAAAAGGTGTTATGGGCCATTTCAGGAAGGATCAATCAGTACATCCCACCTAATAAGCCCTTCAGAATCAGCTAGTTTATTACGTACAATAACTTTCACAGATCTAATGAAACCTTGCAAAATGTTCACCTTCAAACTATGAAACGTTTCCTGGTTATGTGTCCTGAAGGAACTCACAGGTGGGCTGAAATTCTGTGTGATCTGTCAATCTGTTTCTGAAGATTTTCTTTTTCTTTTCTGTGAACTTAAAGGCTGATATCACCGTGGCCACTGGTCCAAAACAGTCAGACCACAAATCTACTTTCTGGATGCATTTTGGTGCACGACTCCTCTAACAGACTTCTATTTTAACATGTGCAGATGTGACTAGACTCTGTGTGTAACAGATATTAAAAGTGCTTTTCAGGCTCTGAATTTCATGTGGGTACCTCCTGTATTCACAAAATTACGAGGACTCAAATATGCTGGAAAAAAATAATGCAAATTAAACACTGACTAATCTTGCAGTTTTACTCTTATTTTCTATGACAGACACTCACACACACACACACCAGAGTGTACAACAGTCTCATACTAAATATGAACAAAGTCTAAAATGATGAGGTCAGAGTATTTAACTCCTATGCGCCCAAAGCTCCAGCTATGAGATCATAGCTGGAGCTTTGGGCACAGCAGCCCCATCCACCTGTTTGTGAGGAGCAGCCAATCAGGAAAAAAGTTGTCTTAAATGCAGGGGAAGGGAGCTAAAAGAGACTGTTTCAGACAGGATGGACGGGGGCTGCACTCAGGCTTTGTATAACATAGATAAATGTGTAAAATTTCTAATCATGGATGCAGGACCTGAAACTGGCCAAACGGGTGATCTGTAAATTACAAGCAGTTTCATACTTGAACATCTTCAGAAAAAAATATTAATGCAAAAAGCCTAATCGCAGCGTAATTACATGATGGTTTATTTACAGTAACCTGATTAAATTCAAATATAAAACTCTTGGCAGTGTACAGATCAATGAGCCATTAAATAAAAAGGCCTCCAAGCTAGAAAGGATTAATTTAAGCAGTAAACTAAGTACGAGCACAAATCAAACACAAGTAGGTAAGACTCTGCTGGATGCACTTTAACGACCTCTCCTGGGAAATCAACTCCAACCACATGCTGATAGAAATTCACTCTGATAAGGTTTTCTTGACATGCAGCTCGTTCAGGTAAACAAGCACAATGACGAGTTCTGATTGAACTCCAAGAAAAATAACTGGTGCATGAAACTGTGACTTTGAAAGCATGTCGCTCACATCGTAAGATGTCCACAATCAGCTCCACGTCCGTGCTGAGCTTTTTGATGTGGTCCAGGTTGGCCACCGTCACAATTGGCACATATTGGTCACTGTCCATTTGGGAGATGAGGTACATGTCACTGGCCAGATTCTCCCTGCCAAACGGAGACGCAGATAGGAGAGGTTAGTTAGACTTTCATGGTGTAGGTGGCAAAAGGTGCAGCAGTGACAACAAACTTCATTTTCTCTGATAAACAATTCTGTGATTAGCACCCAGAGCTGCTCTTAAATAAGAGCGACTCTTACACGTGTAATAAACATCAGCTTTGCTGAGGGTGAGACTGCATCTGAATCGCTGCTCTTCTGGTAACAAGTGCACCTTTTGAAACTCCTTCTGTTTACAGCTGTTGCACATTTGGCTGCTTTACTTGTGCAACTGTGAGATTTTTCCTCAAAGGAATGCACTGTAGGTGTGTATGGTCCAGTATTTTGTAACCCAGCAGTAGTCTTTTGGTTTCTATAGCTTCTTGTTTTCATATCTGATCAGTTGTTTTTTTTCTTTTAACTTCCACTGTAGTTTTGGAGAAGCTAACAGTATGCTATTGTTGTTGGCTTGTTCCAAGTTCACAGAGAGGAGAAAATGAAATGAATTTTTCAAGGCCTCAGTTCCTTTCAAATCAGCAGCTAAGCCACCACCACCGCAGAGGCATTCAAAAGTATGAAATAAGGCTTTCATTCAGACTACGCCTGACGCCCACAGCCAAAGGGAGAGAGAGAGAGAGAAGAGGCCTGATCGGTATCAAAAACAATACATAGTCTTCCAGTACACTAGCTGCACACACACATTTTAATTATTGATGGATTTAATAATTCTTTTAGCGCATGAACAATGATGTTGGAACATATAATTACCATCACACCTCCCAGTACGACCGAAAATATTAATTTACTCTGACAAAGAGAGAGAGAGGGGAATTAAAATAAATAAATAAATAAAAAGCAGAATTCCCATGAACCCTGGACACACGGACGGACGCACACACACACACACCACACAGCAGACAGACGGCTGATTCAGTGTACAAATGCTCCACGAAGGCACCCTGAGACACCACTTTTGGATCTTGTCGGCCGTTTGTTTTGTTGCGTCATACAATATGACATTCACACCACTGACCATACTGACTTCACCCACCACTGTTTAAGTCTTCTCTTTTATGGTTATTTTACTTTAATAAGCCTTAATTGGAATGAGTGTGTGGCCCAGTTTGTGACAGTCCGAATGAGCAGTGTTACAACATTCAACCCACAGAGCTTAAGTGTCCCTCCAACAAAAATGTTGAAACACACAAAATCCACACAATTAGGAGGCAGTGCTACGACCCAGTTGGAGTGGGAGAAAATGTTTTCCTAGAATTAACAGCAGCCCTTGTTAACGCCGTCACTGTAAATGTAATCAAAACCTAAAAGTCATGGTCAAAAAGCTTAAACATCATTGGTCACAGGCTTGTTTTAAACAAGGAAGGTAGAAAGAAAAAAGCCCCATCTTGCTTAATTTTCTAAATTAAGAAGATTTCTTGTAAACTTTGCCTCCGACTGAAAGCAGCCTTCCCCTCTCTTACTAGCAGAGATGTCTGAGTCTACAGAGGAAGGCGGATTCATTTTTAACCTTTAGCTTTCAGATTACTACTACTAATACCACTAATAAAGAGAACTATAATATGAGATGGGTATTTGGTTAAGATTTGCAGCAGTACAATCCCCCCCCTCCCATGAGCAAGTATAAATGCACACTGCGCCTGTAGCTGGACACTGCACAAGGCTCATTATGGTTTAAAGCCCCATGTTGTACTTTAAAAGCAATCTCATGGGCAGTCACCGTTGTTCGAGACGATCTTAAATTCTCTAGTAGAACAAATACACACAAATGCAAATAAACAAACCACATATTAAAAGTCTGGATTTTGTCTTGATGCCCAAAACAAAATAAAATTTGGGCCCTGGGAGTAAACCAGGAGAAAACTGATACCATATGAGAGCAAGCATAGAGCAGAAACATTTTTGTTTATGGTACAGTGGGTTTCAGGTCGTGTTCACACGTGCAGCCAGCCAACAGTCATAGTTGGGGAGTGCACAGATGCAGACCCTTGGGAGCACAGGCAGATGACAACATTTACGTCATGAAGGCTACTGTGGACGCCTGAGGTTTCACTGCCACAAAGTATTATTTGAGCCTAATGTGCTGATTATACCAATCAGGAACCACAGGATTCAAGGAGGCAGAATAACACATGAGTGGATTGCACACAGTCATCCACAAGTCATTGTGTTAATCACTTTCAAGTAGATGTTTTTCCTTCCAGATCTTAATTTAAGTGCTTTTCTCCATTAGCAAGTATGAAACAGCTGCTGAGCAATGATTGAAGTAGATGGGCTGAGATTTCAGCACAGTACGTCAGTTTCTCATGGACAGTTCGAGGCTTAGTGAAGGAGATGTCCCTACATTCAAAGAAAAGCATAAAATTCTGGGCTGTACTGTGATATGAAGCTACTGGCTCACCGGGAAAGACAGAACTCCAGGGTCTTCTTCAGGTGCTCCCTCAAGCCCTCCTGGGGGTTGTCAGGCTGGGGATCACTGCCTGTTGATAGAGGATAAAGATTTTGGTAAAATAAGGAGCAACTAAGCTTATGTCTAAGCTTATGTCTAATCCTCTAAACACTATCCAGACAATGAAATGGGATGTGGGTGGAGAGGGTTGTAAAATATGGAGAAGGAAAAACAGAAAGAAGAAAAGCACCAACGTGTCGTATTTACACACAGCAAATACTCATGCAAGCTAATTTAATGTGTTGGAAGCAATGGCACGGGCGCTAAGAAACCTACTCCTACACGGTTGTGTAATCACAGTCATCTTAATACCACCCATTCCTCCCTTAGCCTCGTTGTTTTTGTCAACACTTCTTTCAAGCGGAGGGCACTTAAAAAGATAAATGTCTCGTAGCAGATCGTGTCTGGAACAGGTCAATGACATTTTAATGATGCAATAAATAACACATAAAACAAATACCTCTCAAGCGGTCACTGTTCTCCTTCAAAAATAAATCTACTGCCCGAGGACAGACTGTCCCTTAATATTCGACCACATTAGCCGACTGTGTTTGGTTGTAGTTCATTCTAACCTTGAGTTATCCAAGATCAGGTGAAATCAAACATATTTAGATCCCCGTGTGATTGACGAGGCCAACGCACTTAAAATCCTTAAAAGCCTTCTAATAGCCGTGCCTGTGGTATAAATGTGGACATCGTCAAGTTACTTTGTTTACAAACTTGGGTGTCCACGCCGCCCCATCAAAAATCAGCACAAAAGTATCCATGTGTAGACATGTGGATAAACACCGCTGATACACAACTACTTCAGAGCCTCCTCTGACTAACAACCAATCACTAACCAGCCCACCTGTGTGCCCTGGCTGCCCAGGCTTGGGGTATTCTGTGTAGGCTGACTCGGAGCACTCCAGAGTGACGGCGGCTGGCTCAGCCAGCATTACTGGTACCGGTGGAGGCTCATCTGGGTCGGTTAGAAGGGGCTCCTTGTAAGCCTTGTCTTCACTGGCTTCATAGCCTGTGACAATCAACAATGGGCATTATGATAATGATTAAAGGCATAAGAATATCACCAGATGTTTAAAAGGGGGGCTATGAGCATAATAGTAGTTTTTTTTTTTATTTATTTATTTAACATGGTTTGTAGTTCAAATTAGTTTATTGGAATCTTAAACTGGGCCTTGATCCAGCCCCTCAGCTCAACCTCTAAAACCAGCCATTTAAGGACACCCTACCTTTAAACTGTGTTGGTTCTGATTGGCTGCCCCTCCAGCTACAGAAGGTGTGAACAGCAGGTGGGTGGGGGTGATATCATACAGAGTAGATACTCAGTATTTAGATCAGTCTGAGCGTTTGGCTCACACTGTTTACATGACAGATGCTCTCATCATTTGAAATTTTGATTTGATTAATATGAACATATATAGCAGAAGATAAGGAAAAGCAAGAAAACAGCTCCAATGTGAATTGAGAGCAGTGTCCTTTTTAAGTTCTAAGTGCCGAATTTCCAACCTTGTCCCAGTTCAGCAACAATACACCTGTGCAATGACAAATGGACATTATTACCAGAGGCAATCTGAAGCATCTGGCCCGGCACATAAACTCAGCCTTTTCCTGATTAAGATGCAAAGAGCATCATTCTGAACGCTCTTTTCCTTTTAGAGCACAACAGATCTTCTCATAGAAATACACAATGATAATGTGAGCAACTTAAATAATGAATAATTATGAATCATTAAAGGCTGGGCAAAAAGCTAATGTAATTCCAAAATAAAACCTTTTCTACAGCACTAATTACATCTAAACAAAACAAGTATTGCCTTTAAAACAAATGATCCATCTTAACATAAATGTAAATATTGCACTACTGGTAATATTGTACTAATAACAGTACTAACAAGTGTTTTTTTGGTCCATTATGCAATGATAAATACATTTACTGGAAATGTTTCTCAAATAAACTGTACCAAGAAAGAAACTGTATATTTTGTGCTACAGACAAACACCATTTCTGGCTGTAGCGTAGCAATAAGCCTAGCAATAAATCCTGAGAATTAGTGCTGTGGATTTCATTTACACTGAATTAAAAACAAAGTGGGTATGAAGGCAATGTCGAGTCAACAGCAAATTAAAATGAAAACAGATCACAAAGGAGAGATGTGCCAGAACAGAATGAAACATGATAATATACTAAAACCAGAGAAAAATTACATTCAGGTAATTAAGCACATAACCATTTATTAAAACAGTATTGGGACAAATTTTAATACTGGGTTAAACAGTGTGGGACTAGTAATGCCATCGTATTCAAGAGCATTTTCCTCTTAATTTGTGTTTGAGGGTTTTAAGCAACCTCCATCAAATCACAGTGCCGGCAATTTTCCTTAAGGTCTGGCTAAACTCTCTTCAGGGTGCTCTATGGAAATACTCTGCACATGACTGAACGGTACAGTGACTTAAACTGAAAACAGTTCATCTACTCAGAGCCGTGTCCCCCGTGGGAAATGGTTCGTTTTATCTTTTAGATTCGTTTCAAACACAAAAGACTTGGCAGGAGCATAACAGCGACCATAACAGCACAGCACAAAGGCCACTTCACAGATAAAAATAAAAAAGTAAATCTTTTAAGAGAGTGAACTCTCTGATTGGAAGTAATCCGTGGGAGGTTCAGTAAAAGTTGCATCCTTTGAACTTGGTGGCTGTACTGGTGAGGCACAACTTTTACTTTCAAGGGAAACGTTTGCAATTACTTTCCACTTTTCAAGTTTCAGTAAAGCTTGGTGAGGAAAATCTAAGTATTTCCAGACAAGTTTGTGTTTTCCATGGAAACTACAGGTGATTTCAGCAACCTGCTGGCAACCAAAACAATCACAAGGTGGTTTTGCAACAGCATTTATTACCATTTTTAAATGGTCAATCTCCAGCAACAACTCGCTAACTGGTTGAGGATCACATTCTCTAGTGGCCGGAAGCTGTGATGAGGTCACTAAACAGTCTCTAGGCCTGTGGGACGTCTGTTCAAATCCTCAGACCTGCTTACTCTTTCAAACTTCAGCACAAAGCACACCGCAAAAGTGAAAATAAACACAGATGTTGCTAACTAGAAGCGACAAGTGATCGAGTCCTCCAGACAAGGGTCTTGTGAAGGAGCCTACGAGTCCACATGCCTTTGCTAAATACGTTCACACGCTGCTTCTGTGGGTGTCATCTGTCTTAATTTAGCACATCACTCCCAGCAGTCTCAGAAACCATGCTGTTATTTATTAATAAAATATGAACGATTATAATGGGGAAAGCACCGTTTCATCGTCTAGGCAACGAATGACACCCACCCCAAATTTGAATATTTGAAAATCTTGACCTTTACTTTTGAAGTCACGTCCACATCAGGCAAGTGTGAAACATAATGGTGAATACTCAAACATCAGAAAAACTGCTAACCCATGAGTGTCAAACATTGGGCCTGTGGGACAGAATGGGAACCCCTAACTAAACCGTTACTGCTGATACGTAGCACATACGTTTTTAATTTTTAACTACATTTTCATTTTTTCCATTTTACGGCCTTCTAAGTGAGAAAGGCATCGCCTACAGTCTGAAACGCAGCGCCAAGGTCAGTAAGTAAAAGATGAACCATTAAATAAAATAAGTTCCTGTTTTTCATCATCTGCCATATAACTTTCAGGTTGTTTTTTGTTTTGTTTAAACAATGGGTGCACAGTAAATGAAGGACCCAAGTTTGAAGTCAATATGAAAGTAAAAGGAAAAACAGGTGACAGGAGGGCTGTTGAATGATAATAAGTGGCTTAAATTCATAACCTTTAATAGTCCGTCTTTGTTTGTCGACAAAGGAATCAGAATAAGCTTCCATGGGCATGTAATGGTTTAGCATACTGACAGTGAATGGGGACATTAGAGGAACCAGCCAGTATCATTACTGAATCACTGTTACCACTGCAGGCGTGGTGTGAATTTTCCGTCACAGACCACTACATGCATGGCCCAACTGCATTAAATCAGCAGTGCTCTGTAATAAATTTTCCATAAATGTCTTTGCGGACGTGGAAGATGAAGTAGGCCAGGACGTCAGTGCGCGTCAAACTGAGACTAATCAATAATTTCTGTTTCACCACCATGTCCTTGTTGCCTCTGTGGCTAAACTTGGCTCAGCACATTGAAGCGAGTGATTACTGTCATTTACAAAGAAAGACGGGTGACTGGAGCTGGAATATTCATAACTCATTCTAGATTGAGTATGAATGATTAAAGGGGTGTCTCCTGTGTGGTGGGAAAAGGGAACCAGAGTGGACAAAGCAGGTTTTTACACCAGACTGTGCCGTTTGTCACTACTCGATTATTACAGACTTAGCAAGCAGACTACATGCCAACATTTCACTTTCTTTCCACACCTCAGCTTCAGATTAGCTGTATACTATTTTCAGTTTCTCCGCATTACATTAATAAATTAGCTGCTGGCTATGTTCACCTGCTTCACGCTGCCACAACCACCAAAACCTATAATTCTCTACTTTTTCAGGTCCAGTATTTACCTGCAACAATTTAAAGGTGCTTTTTGTAAAGACCCTCTGAAAATTGAAAACTTTCACCACATGGTGGCAGCGTTTTACCAGAAGGTTTTCATGCAGCTGATCAGCCCAACGTGCATTAAACAGACTACTTCTCATTAATGTAAATTTGTAAAAACTATTAGTTACCCAAGTCAGCACAAGTCAGCAAAATACAACAGTAATATATGAATGCTGAGCGAACACTAGCTTGAATTATGTTGGTGTCATGTTGAACACTGCACTTACTCCATGTACCATCTTGTGGTCAACATGGGTGTTATGCAAGACTGCAGTTAACTTATTTGAACTTCAGTTAATATCTTGCAACACAATTTCATCTCTGTTACAGCCCAGAAGAATGGTGCTAGAGGCAGCGCAGAATCATTTTGTATATAACTGCTACGTTCTCTGGAACAATTTTGTGCACTTTTGTTGTTGTTTTTTTAATATTTAAGATTAAGATTTAAGATTCTGGGTGTCAAACATGCAGCCTGCGGTTAATACCTCACCCACCAATGACTGCCTAAGTCTAATCATCCCATTTTTTTTTCAATGAAATACTAGCACTATTACTACGTTGTCTATGTCCAATCGTGAGAAATTACAAACCTGCACCTGAACTCCACACTAGCTAAAGAAAATGCTAAAGAAGGGCTCTGCTTGGGCTCAAACCGCCAACTTCTCACTGTGCTGCCACACGTAAACATTTTCACAATGTGCTTCTGTCTGTTTAGGGACGTGTTCAACATTATTTTGCAATTATGTTGAACATGCAATAGTTTTACAGGTTAGCCTAGCTTGAAACAACACTGGGTTTGAAAGAGGACCATAATCTATAACAAGTCTGACACCCCCTGTCTTATATGGTGCCTAATATATTAGGAGTTTACCTGCATATAAAAAGGGTTTGGGCCTTCTGCTAAAGGCGTGTTTAAAAAGTGGAGTTAGATTAATTAGATTTTGGTTTATTAAATCACTAGTAATGTCACAAAAATGCACAGACTTCTATTAAGTCAGGTAACACAGTCTCTTTGCCTTAGCCATGCATTTACCAAACATGGTTATATGCACAATAAGCCACAAAGACCATTTATAGGCAGAAAAATTCCTGTTAATGCTGAATAATGATTCAATGCTATACTGATACACCATTTTAGAAACAGGAAACGTTTTATCTATGCTCTGTATTGCGTTATCTCGATATATCTGAAATGGAGAGCAGTTATACTTTGTTTTGCACTATAGTGGCCAAAAGTCAGATTCTAAGTATATAAGAAGCCAGTTTTTGTGCATCAATGACCTTCTGGGCCGGGATCGGCCGAACTATCGCAGCCTTCCTTCCATGGCTGCAGGGCAGCAGTTGTGGTGTCGGCAGTCCCGCTGGGGTCCAGGCTAAACATGTGGTTGGCCCATGCTTTCGCATTGGGGTTGAGGTCCGAAACCTTGGCAGATTCCTGCAAAACAACAGAGCCCGATTAGAGAAATCAATTTCAGCTTATGTATGTCACCACATCAGTATATGTAGTTACTAAAAAAAAGATAAGAAATGACATTAACTTCTTGGGCATCAACTTTGACTATAAATCATATGACCGTAATCGATGAATTGTCTTTTACTAGTAAATATACACCTCATAGGTTCTGAAAGTATATTTAAAACCATGCTAACAGACTTATGTGGCCTATGTTTCATCCGTGCAATTTAAAGAACACCAACAAAGCAGTGTTTCCTATACAGATTTTATGTAGTCCAACCAGCCACATATGCTAATGTTTGCCTTGTTCACTCATCTGAATGAAAAACATCAACCACTATCCTCTCACTCTTATTCTTGAAGTTTGGTCTTGCTTTTCCCCACTCTCTGGTTCGCTGGCCACATTCCTGCTGTGGCGGCCTGTGAGACATTTTCTCCATCTCTCAAACAAACTATTGCGTTGGACTGAAGCTGGCTACGACAGTCCGTAGTCCACTTTGCAGATCCTCTCTGAGCTAGAAGGCCACTCTAATCAGAAGAGCAGCAGGTGGAAAACTGCTTCATGTGCCATATTGTTGAGCTCACCGTGTTTGCGCAGCAGAGTTAGAACAACAGCACCAGCAAAGACGAGTGGAAGTGAAGTCCACCCAGGTGATCACAGACTCTGATCTGATTATATTCCTTCAGTATTTGTCACAGAGTAAATTAAATATTTGAAGCAAGCATGGTTGTGCCTGTGTAAGTGCAAATGAGCTAACATCAAAGACCGAATCTGTAGGAAACGCTGCAACTGCTACAAATCAATCACAAGAGCCAAGCTGACATCAACCCACCCAGGTCACAGGGAAGGGAAAAAAATAAAAAATTTCAACAAGATGGTGTCTAAGGAAATCATCAGGGTTTGCCTTCTACCCAATTAAAATCCATCATGAGTGACCCACATTATGGGGTCTCATTTTGTCAGTGACACAAGCTAATATAACAGTGCTAAAGAGAGAGAAGTGCACAAAGACTGTAGAAGCCGATTTTCCCCACATGTATTGCTTTTTAAGGCAGTTTTAAATAGGTTGCTTATTTATATTCATATGCACAATGAACTGTACATTTCAAAATATGCCAATAAAACACTGTGGATGTGCCAGACATATTATAGCAAACAGTAATTTGGTTTAAAAAAAAAAAAAGTCTTCACAAAATCTTTCATGTCTCAACTCACATTACAGTTTGTGAGAATACCAATACTGCAAAGCCTTCTACAACAATTTTCCCTTTGCTTACTCTAAAGAAAAATACAGGGAAAGTATAAAATAAGACATTTAAATGACAGATTCACTTGCCCAGAAAAGAAGTTTCTATTTCCGGGATTTCTCCTGGCTCAAAATTGGCCTTTCGGCTGGGTGACTGTGCATGTAAGCACGACTTACTCAAGTCTAAGCATTTTCCTGGTCAAAATGTGCTTTACGATCAACTAATTTAAACCCCGCATTTAAAAAAAGAAAAGAACCCCTCGTTTCACTGTAATGTTTCTGTAATGCCTTCTCGACTCTTCGAAATGGTCTACGCTGAGAATCAGAAAGGCGAGCATTCATCAGTCATGTTGTACATAAGTCTCAATCGACAACAAGACTCCTCAAATTAAAAATCGTTTTGACAGGAACCAGGCTAATAAACCCCTGGTGTCTGCTGGAAATACTCACAGGATCAAAGCGGCAGTTCAGCATGCATGTCTCACAGGCTAAGAGGCTATAACCCAGAGCGGTGGTCAGAGTCAGCGTTTCACTCAACTCCTGAGGAACAGCAGGCCAGACGCTGCCTGCCGCTGGTGGTATTAGAGTCCACTGCATCCAATCCATGGCTAATACATAAAGATAAGGTCTAAGTATGTCCACCGGTGGGCAGAGGAAGGAAGTCTTCCGACCGACATTGGCTTGCCTCAGGCTCTAACCTGCGAACGTCTGAGCAAAGCGGCTGCCACCACCCCTCTCCAAGTCATCCTCGTCAAATCACAGCTACCGCCACGCTCTGCCTGCCCTCCTCCGATACAGGCTGCTGGGTTGATTCAACAAATCTGATGACAGCACTGAGGCTCGGCTGCCCCGGTGGGCCAGGGCTGACGTTGCAGAAGCTGACTGGCTGTCTCGCTCCCGTTAAGCACCCGTCTCTGCTTTTGTTTTGTCGCCGTTGCACTGAGTCATTCCCCAGGAAAAAAAAAAAAAACAAAACGCTGGAGCTGTGCAGGCAGGGTTGAGTCGCACACCTGCGCTCAAATGAAATGCCTGCTCCGGTCTGCCACATGTTAAATCAACCCTGAGGCATCGCTCAAATTCAGACCTCCAGAGCCTTGGCTTTAATATATTATTCTGCTAACAAGCTAAGTTGCAAAATAAAGGGCTGGGCAAACTGGTTTCTTTTTGAACATAGTAAAGGGAGGAGGAAGAGAAACAAAAACACAACAAGATTAAGAAGTGAGCAGCAAGAGATGTTGTTCCTCAGTCGTATTTCACAAACATGGCACTACGAGATCATTCACGATGTGCCTGGCCAGACAGAGACAAATCCCCGCCTATGCTAATAATCCATCCTTCCTCCAATGTAAAACTCCCACTCCTGTCCGAGCGGCTGCCATAGAAACTGCTGCTGACATCAATGGACGTGTACGTCCAGGGCATCGCTTGACCTTTCAAAATTTTAAAATGTTCCCCTCTCTCACAGAGGAAGGAAAGGTTAGCAGCCTTTCTGATTGAGGGTGTATTTTTGGAGGAAACAGGAGAATGTGATTCATCACGAACCGTGGACAGAGATGAGTTATAGTCAGTGTCATTGGAGGGCAGCCGACGTAGCACCGGGTTTATTGCTCTCCCTCCTTGATGGAGGTGGGCTCCCAGCAGGCAGGCAGACAGAGAGACAGAGCAGACAAACCAGAGTCCTTAGGGAGGGAAAACAAAAACAGCTGAATTTGGACTAATCTGTCTGTCTGCAGACCGGAGGCTCCTCTTTCCTCTCTGACAGACAGATCTGGGGAGACCAGATGGGCCAGATGAGCACATCACAAATACTACAACATGCATCATCCTTAACAGCATTTTCTACAATATTAGACTAATTTAGCAACTACAGATGAGTTGTTTTCCCCCCAGGTCATTATTTAGACAAATTTGAACAGTTTAACCTTTTTTTATTTTTCTTTGAAACCATCGGTCTGGCAGCAGGACCATTTTACAAGCCTTCTAAACTCCTTTACCACTTGTTCTAAAGGCAAAATGTAAACAGTTTGGGAAAGACGAGAAGATGCCCTTTACAGGGATATTCTGTGTATCATGGTAGCACAAAGCATTCATAAGGTACTGTGTGAACACCAGACGGGGGAACCTAGATTTTACAGTGTGTGCTTTTTATTCAAATGGTTCCAGAAAGATGACTGCAGTCGACCTCCATCTATACGCAGTTCAGTATTCGCAGATTTTTCTGTGGAAAGTAACTCCAAATTATTTGGGGAAAATTCACCTATTCACAGATTTTTTGATTTGACACGCTATTGGCTGGTGTTTGCAAAGCAGCCAATCTAGGAGTGTCATTTATTTTCCTTCATGTTGAACAGAGTACCGCCCAGTACATCAAGGAGGAGGTGGTGAAGATAAGGAAGACTGTGGATGTTAGCTTCTGTGGTAGTGCCAAGAAGTTTTCCACGTCTCAATTATTTGCAGTTCTCAGTTCTTTGCGGGCGGTTGTGGTTCCTAACCCCTGCGAATACCAGGGTCAACTGCATTTTGTAGTTTTACAGTCAAAATTACAAAATAAGTCCATGTGGGCTGTTTGATACTGGCTTAAACTTAACTGATGCTATGTTTATTCTTAGACTAGAGGAGCTTTGTATGATCCCTAACAGTTTATTTGTATCGTGACTACACTTTACTGTAACATCATCTGATATTTGCTGTGCCGTTTTTATAAAGATACCTTATTCTGTTTATTTAGCTTTCTTGAGTTTTAGATATTTTACCTTAATTATGCTAATATATTTTTTATTTAAATCTATGCTTAATAACTAAACATATTTTACCTTCTACTGTGCTTGGTTCGAGTGTTGGGGGTTGCTGAGGTAACTTTTAACCAGAGGTCAGCAAACTGTGGCTCAGTTAGAATTAAAACATTTCTTTAGAAGAAATGGCAATTGTGCTTATTACAGCAAGTTTCTGAACTTCTCATCTAATGCAAGCTTATTCTTTGCCTTTAAGTTCTGTTTATTCTATTTATTTAAGTTTAAGTTCTCTCAGAAACGAGCCATTTAGCTCCTCTCACTTTAACGCTGCAACCTTCTTCCAGAGGAAAACAAAACTAACAGCATTATATTATTAGTCACATTTGTATAAGAACAGTGGTTCTTTAAGACGATAACTCAAAGGCAAGCCAAGTCGTAAAAGACTGATCTAAGAGATTTGTTGACGAGGCTGGACAGTGGTGAGAAAAGCAGTGGTGTGGTGTCTGTGTATTGGTGGCATTTCCCTGCTTTGGCAACAGATTTAAGAATGAGGATCTGAAATCTTTTGATATGGCTACCCAGTTGCTAAACTACATTTACACTTTTTGAGTACATCCCCTTCGGTTTCCAAAGCTGGACGACTGCTTAAAAACTAGTCTGCATTTCTGTCCCCACAGTTTTGATTACATCTGCATTCATACACAGAGCATTTTCATACCTGCATATGCAGTGAAACTGCAGCTTCTCTCTGCCGTATGACCCACTAAAAAAAATTTAAAAAAAAAATATATTTGTGAAGATTCCCGTCAGGCTCACTTTCTTTCCAGCTTGTGTCCATAATTGATTTGATTTAACATGCACAGCTAAAAATGGGTCACGCTCAATTTCTGGTCTGTTTCTGACACATATGTGCAAAGCATATGGTGTATCACTCCGTCTCTGTGTGAACGCATGCGTGTGAATAAGGAACAACACAATTCTGGTAGCACCAAATGGCTTG